AAATAATTAATATTTTAAAATATTATATAAAAAAATTTATTTAATATTAAAAATTATTATATTTAAAAATTTAAATTTAAAAATAAATATTTTAACTTTTAATTTTAATATATAATTAAATAATTAATTAAATATAATTTTCTTTTTTTAGCTAATTATTACAAAATACATAGATAAAGTTTTATAAAATATATTTTATATTATTTTTGACTTTTTATATTAATTAATATTATATATTTAAGACTAATATAAATATAATTAAATAAATATTTTTTTATTAGTTTATTTTTTTATAATAAAATAGCTTCTTAAAATATATAAAAAATTAAATATTATATTATATTAAAAACTAAGTTTTATATAATACTAAAAAAATAAATATTATATTATATTAAAAAAATAAAAATTCTTATTACTCTTAAGAAAGTTTATAATGTTAGAAAAATAATAAAAAGATAAAATATTAGTATTTTTATTATTATTTATATTAAATAAAAATAATAAAAAAGTATATTTTTATTAATATTAATAAATTTGATTATTTATATATGATAAATAAAAAACTAAAATAAAAAATTATTAATTTTATTATTTTTATAAATACTTGATAGCTATTAAAATTTAAAATTACTTTTATAAAACTAAAATTTAAATATTTTATAGATAATATTTATTATATATTTAGTAATTATAAATTAATATCAAGAATAAAATATAAAAAGTAATATTTAAAATATAGACTTGATTTTATAAAAAAATATAAAAATTAGATTAAAAAACTAAACAAAAGTAATCTGATCAAATAAATTAAAGTTTAATATTTTTAAATTAGATAAATATAAGTATTATTAAAAAAAAAGAAATTATTAAAAAGTTTATATATTAAATCTACTATTAAATTTAATAAGAAAAGAATAATAATATAAAATTGCTTTACTATTTATAATATTATCAATCTTTATAAAATTAATAGCAGAATAAATAATATATTATATAGAAAAATTCTTTTAAAAGATCTTTTAGAAATTATTAATAATTTTAGTAATGTACTAAATGATATTATTTTTTAATAAAATAATAATTTCAAGTATATTATCATTGAAATCTATCAATAATTTGTTGATAATAAAGTTGATATTCTTGATTAGCTACTATAATTCCAGATCTCAATTCTATGAGATATTATTGATTATTATTACATTATCTTCTGGAATTGATTTTGAAAGAGAGATTTGTAAGAGAAACTTCAGGATGTGTGAAATGATATCAATATCAAGATATGTATCTGTCTTATTAAATCTATATCAAAAAGAATTGCTGATGTAATAAAGGCTCACAGTGGCTATACAAGATAATAATCTAAATTGAAAATAGTTAGTTTTTTAAAAAAAAAGTAAAAAAGGTAGAATTTTTACCAATTTTTTTTATTTTGTTCAAAAAGAACAAATATAATGCAACACCAAAAATTGAGTATATTTTGGTGATTACAAAAAATTTAGCTAAATAATATTATTTGAATTGGTAACATTTTAAACTATATTATGATTGTATCATTTAATCATATTAATAACGATAATGATTGTGATACTTTTAATTGTAGGACGATACATTTATTTGAAAATTTTCATTTAAATATTGCATTATTTTGATCGCCACTGTATAAGTGATTGCATTTAATATTTCAGAAATCTAATTGTTGCCAAAACTTCTGTGTCTGACGAAGTTAAGATCATAATATCTCTGAAATTTTAAAAACTCACGTTTTAATCAAATTATTCAATTTTGGAGGAATGCGATGTTGATTGATTGATTATTAAGATACGTATTAACGTTCAGAAGTTCATTGATATCAGATGATTGAGTGTTGGGTCGGTGTCAGATCGGAATCGATTTCTGACACATACATGTCAACTACTCTATAATGATACCATAAATTTTATTGTCACTATAAGGAATTATATAATATTATCGTAGAGAGATGAATTCATATAAATCATTTAAAAAGAATTATCAAAATTTTTTTAGAAAGATGTTGATTTATAACTAGGGCTAGGGTATTACTTTTAAATGAAAAATAGTTAGAAAAAATGATAGTTCACGCTTTAAATCTATATTATCTTTTTTATAAATTTTTAGTAATTACTTTTTATTATCATCACTATTATTTATATTGGTTGTATATAATGTTGTGATGCATATTATTTTTTTGCTCTATTATGTCTCAACAGCTAGTAGTTCTAAGAACACGCACATCAACGTTATTATTGTGTCAAAAGGTCAATATTTCATTTAAAAGTTGCAAATAATAGTATGCAGTTCAGTAAAATCAATAAGTCGAGTAAAGAAGTTGATATAACTTTTGACGAATGGAGATTTCTGAAGAATCAATAATAAAAAAATTATGAGAAATAAAAGATAAGCTTTTCGCTTCTCCCATGACTGCCCCACATTTATGTTGTCATCTTTATCCAAAGTCTGCGAGATAACCAGGCTTTTTCAGTAGCATAATGGAAAGTTGTTCAAGCCAGTTTTCTGTCAAACATACGCATCGTATCTAGAGTAAGAAAAAACAAAGATGAGGGTTACCGAAATTTTCTTTACTACATATTCGGCTTAACTAAAATCTCAGGATTTTCCGTAGCGTGATGGCAGTTCAAACCTGCTTGCTATCTACACTCTACTGGATCAGTTATCCTGAACGACTATTATTCAAGTATAATAAGCAGCCCTATATTCTTCTATAAATGTTAGTTTGTATGTTCTAAATGAAGGTAAAATCACTACATGTTTTTCAGTATTGACATTAATATACTCATATGATTACTGAAATTAATATAGATATCGATGTCAAATCATATGTACCAAACGAAGTAAATGAAGATGAAATTTATTAATTATACCACAGTAATTATTATTAGTTAATTATAATTTAACATGTATAATTTGATTTATTCTAAGCGCATGTCTCATGTAGTATATAGCGATAGATTTTCTATTTTTCTTTAATTTTCATTTTGTTAATTTCGAAAAAAAGTTATCAATAAATCGTGATTTAAACTTATAACAGTCCACCCAGCAGCATTATCCTCTAGTCTTTTATTATATGCATCCATAACTTCACATAAATTTGCGAATAGCGGCGGCGTTGTAGAATTGTATTCACTTCTATGAATATAACAATTACGACAATTACGACAATTGTAATAATTAGAATATTACGATAAATGAGTTTCGCTAACATGATTTTTGCTATTGCTCACTCTTAGAAAATGGTCGAATTTGTGAGGCTCAATTTCACGTTTAAACTATTGTGCTCTAACGCCAAGAAAGTTAAGCACACCCATATGATAAATGCTAACCAATCAAACATCATGATTTAAATGCTTATGATTTTTATTAAAAAAAAACTTAAAGCTTATCTCAAAATAAAAAGATTTTTTCGAAATTTTGTCTGTGTGAAGTGTTGAAAGGTTTGAAGATGCTTTGCTCTTATTAATCTATTGTGATTGTTGAGTATAAGGGCACTTGATATTTTAGGTTGGGTGCTTGAATCTTAAACATTTGATTGGTTATAATATGTTGACATTTAGATATTTAACAGTAATAATAGTCTAGTGTTAGCGTTAAATAAAATGATGAATTATAATTGCTGATGACAAGACCTAACATATAAGTTATAATCCTATTGATTCGATGGTTTACAATAAGTGATATTATTAACGTTGATGCGTACATCGCCAATCTAACGGTAGTTTTATTGAAAATAATGTATATAAAATCAGAATTAAACCACCCTTATATTCAGGGTTCGATTTAATGGCTAATCGGATCGATAATCAGATGCTATAAAGCTTGAGAGAATACTAATAAATTGAGCGTGATTTAATTATTATGATATAGAGGAAAAAACATTAATTCGCGATTTCTTTTAAATCACATAGCCGTTAAATTGAGCGCTGATTGTAGTTAATCACCGTAGAATTCATCAATAATGATAGTAGGCTATTGACAATAATCCCCCCACTACCACCACTGCGAATCAACGAGCGGCGAGAACTATATTTTTTAATATGAATGAAGTATAGAATTTCAATATCACAAGAAACATTGTCGGATGATGAAAGAGATAGATATCAAAAAGAGTGTCAGCCATGAAAAACTTTCTATAATGATAAAATCCGGGTCAAGAATTTTATTAGAAATACAAAGATAAAAATAACAATTCAATTTATGAAAACTATCGAGAAAGAGACGGGCATTAAGAATGTGGTTAATGGATTACTCTAAGTTCCTTACACGGACAACAACCTTTAGCAGAGCCTCATCGTTGCTTTTAAAGCCTACATCCACTATGTCTGCGAATTAGAACATCTCTCTTGATAGCTTTTTTTAAAATCTGCCACATTCCATATTTGAAAAAATTTCATAAGCAAAATCTGATGCTTTGGCTAAAGTTACTCAGATGATGTGATGTATTCCAACCAATCAGTTGCCGTCCCTCGTTACATTGTGGCGTCTCATTAAATTTGTTCGTGGCTCAATGGTCACTAATTTTGGTGTAATTGAGAATGGCTGTAATGCGGATTAGTGAGTTTTGTGACACTACTTTGTGTTCGATATTAATATCAAATTTGATATTGGTTTATTAAGAAGGATGAAAAATGTTCTGAAGAAAATTTTGAGATTTTATTCAGTCAGCTACGAAATTAAATTTCAATGGTTCACATATTGATCACTAACTTTAGATCGAAAAACTCAAAAAATACCTTAATAATTATCCATATTTGTCATCAAAAGATTTGGTTTACTTAAAATGAAATCCTTTTAGAGTTGCCAAATCTTCTTCATGAATAAAAAGGGTTCTATTAATGAAATTTTATAACGTTTAAGACGAATAACTCTATAAATACAAAGTATTGGCATTCCTACCTCTTTGTTGTCCGGCATCAACAACCTTTAAGCTAAAATAAAAAAATCTAATAATAAAGTTATTTTTAATGATGGCTAGTCAGAATGAGGTTAATCACTTCGAATACTTTAATTATGTCAGTGAGCAGCAAACAGAGCTTCCCAAATTTTGTGTTCCTTTTCCACCAAAAATCACTCCCGAAGAATGTATTGTTCTCAAGGACAATAAAATTCCATCAAAGTCGCCAAATTGTTTTATAATTTATCGTCGTGCATTTCAAAAGGAGATTCGTGAGAATAAATGTTATTTCAAACTTGATTACGTTTCAAAATTGGCTTCTGAAACTTGGAAACAAGAACCGCATGAAGTTAAAACCGCATACAAGGAAATAGCAAAACAAGCTAATTATTTACTTGTCAACTTGCGTGCGAAAGCTGCAAGAGAGAAGAATAATTTCGAGGAGAAAATGGAAGACAACAGCGAAGAAATGGAATTAAATGCATATAATGAACGACAAATCGATGATTCGTTTGCTGACGAACAATCGCATAATAATGAATTCGACGTGGAACTTCTTGATGATACGGACAATCAAAGACAGCCACTGTTATTCGATTCTAACTCAAACGATGATGAGTATTCAACAATCGACCACACATCCATCAACACTTCTTATATGATTAATGAATATTTCCAACAACCAACAGCAGACATTCAATATGAATTTCTCTCTACACAATTAGGCGACAATCAGAATATGCAATTTCAATTAAATAACAAAATCTCTATGCCAAATTTATTTTTACAATCTTCTGATAATTCTTTCCTATTGAATGAATTATTGGAACATGATAAAATATTGGAAAATTCAACTTCAAATGATTATTTTTCTAATCAACTTATTTCAATTGATCCACAAATTCAACAACAACAACAACAACGACAACAACAGAAGAATTTTGATAAATTTCAATTAATCGATGATAATTTTTACGTAAATGATATTCTTGAAACTACATGTAATTCCAATATTTTTAGCTATTTTAATTTTTATCCTGACGACGAATCTCATCAAATGAATGATAATAATATCGTCAATCAATCCCAAATTATCCCCTCTATTTTCGGTGATTTTTAATTAATTTATTATGTTATAGTTTTTCTTTTAAGGTTAACCATTGATGAGATGGTGAAACTCTAAAATCAAGATCACCAATTAAATTATTGAATGTATCAAAAAGGAACTGTATAAATAATTTTAATTTTGTAAGTAGCAATAAATTGAATATATTACCTATGTTTCAAATTAGCATATAAGTACCAATTACATGCTATTTATAAGTTACTCGAAAAACATAAAATTAAAAATTCACGTAAAAGAATTCGTGAAATTACGTATCTAATCATACAAATTAATTTTCAACCGAAATCAAATCTAGTTTTTCCGTCTGAAATCACAGATTAAATGATTTCTTTTTTTTTAGGAAACTTATAACAAACCTAACCTAATATGGAAATAGACTTTCTGCACCACATGTGGTTGAGCCTTTAAGCCACAAATTTGTCTACAAAATTGTGGCTATAAATAAATTGTTGCAGAATTTTTTACCCAATAAAATTTTGTGCTGCATGCATGCATGTGATAACGACAATGAGTTTTAAGTTATCTTTAGAGGCCTTTAAGAGCAAAGAAACCTTGCATATTTAAATTATTTCTCTAACAGTTTAATTATTAAAGTTAATGATGATACATTCAATAAATTATTAATTTTTAAACTCTTAGATATAATTGATTAACAAAACGTGCAATGATTTATACTGTGCATATATTTACGCGTGCTTTGTTTGTTACCTTTTTAGTGATAAGGTTTTAATTAATTATGAAGTCTATTATTACACTTACAGATACAAAAAACAGCACAGTGATAATAAATACTCCGTATCTAATAGATTACAGGTATTACGGTTTTCGTTAATGTCAAATCCGACAGGGGAATGCCACAAATTAGGTATTTTGTCAGCTTCGTTTAATAATCTTCCTTTTTTAGCATACATGGAATATTCATGAATCTTGATTTCTTATTAAAATTTTATGGTACGTATTGGCATCAATCCGATCCCGAATACATGACATGTATTTTGCTTTTCTACCTTCGATTAGTCATGGGTGTATGTATACAAATATAATCTATTTTTAGAATCATGCAGCTTGCAGAAATTTCCATTTACGGTAAAGAATATCTCATGTAAATGCATGTATAATATTAGTCTTGCATTGATGGTCTATTTTAGAATTTTTTGCTAAGCCAGAATTTTTTATTTATATAGACTTGGATGATTTTGCTTTTCGTTGCCAAGCGAATTTTAAAAGCGTTTTTGTAGCTTGAAGTTTCCTTTTAATCATTAGAAAAATGTCACAAGTCAACAGCCACAATAACTTCATCATCATCGATACTGTAAACATCAACAGCAACAACTTGTCCGCCACTTCCTTAATTGAGAGTCAATTTGATCAAGAAAAACTCCTTCGCGAAATCAAAATACCATTTCCGCCGACTATTACGCCAAAAGAAATCATCGTAAAAAAAGGTGGAAAACTTCCATCAAAACCTCCAAACAGTTTTATAATATATCGCCGTGCATTCCAAAAACAATGTCGTGAATGCGGATATTTACTAAAGTTAAATGTTGTTTCCGCAATGGCAGCTGAATCATGGAAAGAAGAGCCTTTAGAAGTAAAAAATGCCTATAAAGATTTAGCTTTACAAGTTAATTATGTGTTAGTTGAAATGCGCGCTAAGGAAATACAAACTAGAAATCACGTGCAAGAATTAAAAGATCTATTGAAACAAAATATCGATGATTCGTTTGACGATATTCCCGAGCTAAACACTCAATTTTCAATAGAAAATCATTCATCATCTAATGAAGAAAACAATTGCAATTTATCATTAGAATCGAACGCACAAAATATGTACAATAATCAAGAAAACTCACTAATCAATGATAACTCAAACAATGATTTAAATAATGATTTAAATCTTTATCCTAATTCTAATCAAAATGAAAATGTCGAAATGAATCTTAATGCTATTAATAACAATTATGATCATTTTGAGTATTTTCCATTATCGTTAAGCCACGAAGTCCATCTCAATGAAGAAGGAATGCTCTTTGACGATTATATCGCATTTAATTACTTTTCATATCAAGAAAATATGGGTCACTTTAACGAAACATTCATCTCACATCTCGATGATGTGGCCACAATACAATCCCAAAGAAATTATCTTCCATCAATATTTTAAGTTTATATAAGATTTGTTTATAACCTAAAGAAAAAATTGTAAAATATTTTAAATATGACATTTTAGAGTATATGTACGTATTATAATAGCTCACATATAGATTATATATATTATATATAAAATGGTAAAATAAATCATAAAATATTTGGATTATATATAAATAATGCGTTTAATGAACGCGTTTTCCTATCAAAACTATAGTTGTGTTGCATTAAGTAATCGTAATTAAATTGATGCGATTATACTTTTATTAGTTTCGATTGATAATACACGAGTCAATATTCAAAGAAAAAGATAAATTAAAAAATTCGAATGATTCATAATCATATTTTCTCGAAAGAGTCGATGCAATTAGTTCTACCATATTGTCGCGAAATAGCGCCCGTCTGCGCGTTATTTCGAGACAAAGGGTCAATTTTCTGCTAAACCCGCTTTTCGAAATAACGCCCATGTGCGTTGTGCTGTATATGGATATTAATGTTAAAAATAAAAATCATATAAATAAACTATGTGTCTTTTGAGAGCATGAGCGTTTTTATTTTCTCGTTTTTATATTTTTTATTACATTTTCGTTAAGTCTCTTTTTTTATACAACGAACATCTATAAGATAAAATGTGTTCGTTATTTTTTTGTTCGTTTCTTGTGCAAAAGTTTTTTGCTTCATTTATAAGTGAACATCATCGTAAAATGAAGTTAGACAGTCGCGTTTAAGTAATTTCATACTTCTTTATATTACAAAATCGACCGAAACCATCTATGCTATTTAAGGGTACGATTTTCGAACGCCTATGGGCGAAAATACAGTACATACTATTATGCTTCCTTCAAAATGAGATCATATCGATATCGATATGTGCAGATAAATTTTATCTGATCATGTGATTAGCATCATCATTAATAATGCTCCGACGTTTAGCGTTAATGAAAAATCTATCCAAAGAAGACACATTCATTGCACATGAACACCACCAAACAAATTGGATATTTTTATTTTTAGAATCATCACATATTCGTGCAACATTTTTGTCCTTTGTGATAAATATTGTCTCTATATGCAGCCATTTTATTTAAGATAATACGTGTAATATAAAATAAATTATAGTCACTTTACCATTGTGATGAAAAAGTTTGTTCATTAAAAGTTTTTTTGTTCATTAAAAGTTTCATAAAATAAAAAAAGAGGAGACTGAAAACGGCTAGGTAAATCATTGAATTTAATTCCAAACCCGAATATCAAAATGAATTTGCACTTCGGCTTTTCAAAATTCATGTGGATGATGATATAAATAATAAAACCCCGTAGATTCCGTTAATTCCGCATATGTTAAACACAAAAATAGTCATATGTATTGAGCAAAGCCATTTCTGAGTCAAAAAGATTTGCATTGTTGTTATCAAAATTTTCGAATTCCAGTTGAGAAATACACAATAATGTTTTTACTTTGTGTGTTACGGAATGTTCTTTATATTATTTTTAGAAACAGTGAAACTAAATTATTTTTAGATTTAATGTGAATATTAAGTAACACAAACTTTAACAAGGGAAAAAAAATTATAAATAGCTCAGGTATCATTTTTGGATTTACATGTAATTTGTGAACTAAATTTTTTCGTGATTTCGCGTTTCCTATCAATGATAAGTTGTTTTCCCTGCCAGCAATTCAATAATATGAATAACATAAATAATTTTCGTTTCGCAAATGAATTCGAATCTCAATTCATCAAAGAAGATCAGCAAACACCTCCGCAAATAAAAGTCCCTTTTCCACCAAATATAACACCCGAAGAGACCATTTTAATTAAAGACGGGAAGATCCCATCGAAACCACCGAACAGCTTTATAATTTACCGTCGTGCATTCCAAAAAGAATGTCGCGAATCAGGGCATTTATTAAAATTGAATGTTGTATCTTCAATGGCAGCCGAATCATGGAAAGATGAACCACTAGAAGTGAAAAATTTTTACAAAGAATTAGCACAGAAGGTTAATCAAATATTAGCAGAAATGCGCACTAAACAGTTATACGATAGAAAACAAAGTCAAACATCATACGAGCAGAATATAATAAAAGCGAAAAAAGAGGAGATTGAAAATTATTTTGTCTCAGGAAGACAAGAGGAACCGCATGAACAACAACAACAACAACAACAACAACAACAACAACAACAACAACAACAACAGCAACAACAACAACAACAACAGCAACAACAACAATCACCACCACCACCACCACAACATCTACAACATCAATGGTTATTGTCAAATGAAATTCAACACCAGCAGCAACAGCAGCCGCAGCAACAATTGCAATATTTTCCCCAAATTCAGCTGCAAAATTCTGAATTTGAATTAGGAATGTCTTTACCTCGATCACCAGCACCCACATTTGATACCCAATACACATTAGAAGACATTATTAATATTAATGGCATGCAGAATAATCAAGACACTATGAATATAAATAGCATCCAAAATAATCAAGAATTTTATCCTGAAAACGAATATTCTCATGAAATTACATTTAATTCACCTTCAAAAATAAATGCTCCTATAAAATATTCATCGGATTTTGATCTATATTCTAAACAAATCAATAATGACATTAATATTAATAACAATAATTATCATAATGATTATGATTATGATATTGATATGCAACATCAAATGTCTTCCTCCTGGAATTTGAACAATGATACTGAATCTCCATTAGATCAAAGTCCCGTTATTCAATATTTAAACAATTATGATGACTTAGAGTTTTACGAACAATTATCCAATTATAGAAATCATCAATCTTACATTGATGAAATTCGAAAAATGAAGTATATTCCTTCGATTTTTTAGTTAACAAAATTCTACCAACTAAGGTATAGCATTATAAATATAGAATGTAAAGTATCATCTTTTGCCATACATATTATAAATATTACATATATTGTATTTATATTGAAAGCACATATCCATTTTGCATTTATTTATTTCTATAAAATTTTGTTATTGTTTGATTGATTCCTACTAAAAAAAAAACTTATTTTCTTCGTTAAGAAAATGTACTTAAAATGTTTTCTAACTTATACGAAACGAAACGAATCATTACACCCGAATTCATCACACCATACAAAATTATTTTAATAAAAACTGATAAATTCATTATCGCCTCAAAAGTGTTTTATTAATTTTCGTGCCTTTCAAAAAACTGTGTAGATGATTATGTATACAAAAATAATGCAAAGTTTAGTAAAATGTTTGTTTTTATGTTTTAATTTTATTATTAAATATTTTTTATTTCTAATTCAAATGAAGCTAGAGTTCTCTATTTTTTCAGATTTTTTCTAAGAGAGTTACTCTAATTGTATATAAAGTCAATTAATTAATAATTAATAAAATTAATTAACTTCATATGTAATTAGAACAACCCTCTTATAAGAAACAAAAAATCTGAAAAAATATATGTTAATACAAAGAATCTAATTTTATTTTGAACTAAAATGAAAAATATTTATTAGTAAAAATTTATATATAATAAAAAATATATATTTACTAATTACAATTAGTAAAAAATCCAAATATTACATTATCTTTAACTATATATAAATAGAAATAATAAATTTATCAGAAAAATTTTACAAGTTGGGTATGTCGGGATGTTAGGTTGTCGGGATTAGATTATCGGGTAGTTGAGCTGTAGGGTTGTTGAATTGTTGGATTTTCGGAATGTTGGATTTTCGATAAGTTAGACGTCGTGATGTTGGGGTAGATCCGTCAGCATTATCGCATAATGAAATACTGCTATCGGTGCTAAATTGTTTTCATAACAGAGATCGATAATCAAACAAAGAATGTACATGTAATATAAAACAGAGAAGTGGTGTTACACGATTCAAAGCAAATTACTCTTAATTTTATAAAGAGGTAAACTGAATCTTTTTAAAGTGAAAATTTTTTTCAAAAACAGATTACGACCGCCTTTAATGACAGCATAAGATATTATGTAATTACTTATGCGAACTTCGTAATTACTGTATATTCATTTAAAAATTGATTTGTTCAGGAAAATAATTATATTTAATTGATAACAATCTGGAAAAATTTGACAAAGAAAAGTTTGCACATCGTGACTTACATCTTGAAATATTGTTGCCGTGATTTGAAATAATAACCTGTGACCGCGAAAAAAGCCCCCGTGATTACGAAGATGTTCGACGATCCAATCCTCTAAAGTAGAAATGTGTTACGAAAAAACATTAAACATTAAAATAATCATGTACAAAATTCTTACCTTGTGATATCAACATCAGCGTTGCCTTCACCTAAAAACACGAATTCTCTCCAAACTTTCTTATCTTGCGTTCAAAGAATGTGATTGTAGTAATAATCCACAAACATCGTACATAAATGCTTTGATCCAAAGAAATCTTTACAAAATCCATACAAATTCACATTTTATGTTGCACGTAAATTCTTTTTATTTTTTTTTATTTCTGAATAATAATTAATTTTCTCTTATATAATTGTTTGTGTTGGTAGTGAAGCTACAATCCCTTTTTATAAATTCTTACAAATTTCATTACTTTATATGTTATAATTTGCAAATTCTTGTAGTAATCAATATAAAAGAACAATTTCAAAGCCAAAGAGACAAGTCTTTGTATGATTTGAAGAAAAATAATTATTTTTAACTCTTATCTAACATTATTTCAGCTTTTATATCTTTTGTATCTGAATAAAATTGATAGCTTTAATTATTTTGTGATTAACAAATAAGAATTTACTACTTTATCTATACAAAAATAAGTCATGTCTGATTCTATATTTTATTTTAATTTCTGAAATATTAAAATATTCATTTGAATAATCTTAGTATTAATCGCTATTCTTATTTGTTACTATTTTATAATTTAATAATTATTTAGTAAATTAATATTATTAATATTTTATTTGAATTAAAGTTATTTTGTTATTAGCACTTGGATATTATTTTGAACTTTTGTATTAAATAATAATAAATTTATATCTTATACTTACTTTTATAATTTATTTGTCCAAATTAAATATTAATTTTATTAATTTTATCTTTGTCTCTTTGAATATTTTATTTTTTAATTATATAAAAAATAAATTTTTATTTTAAGCTTTTTAAAAATAAATATTTAAATACAAATATTATTTTGAATATTATTTATTTTTAAAATATTATTTTAAATTATTATTTATTATTTTATATACAGTGGCAATCAAAAATAATGCAACGCTTAAATTTTTTACTAATTATAATTAGTAAAATACATATTTTTCCT